AATACAGGACAGGCTGACCAGGTGGTGCTGGGACTGGTGCAGTGAGATGAATGAAGTGTACAGGTTATCTGCCTCTCAGCTGTAGTTAGAACTCCGTTCACTGTTGCACCAGGGGCTGGGATCCAATGCCCAGAGAGGAGCCCTGCTGGCCATGGCACTGTGCTCCCTGCAGCTGGACTGCTTGACATCTCCTCCTGCCACATGGCAAAGCCCAGACCTATTGAAAACATATCACTTAAATAATTGAATGCAAGTTAATCAACTACATTTAGGTAAATAAATACATCCTTCATAATGCATGCTGACATACTGAATTTGATTCCGAGCCCCTTGGGACACTCTCCATTCATTCCAGAGGGCCAAGACAGGGTTTAAAACTAATTTTGGTACCTGAATAAATTCTATTATGGACAGCAATTTACTATCCAGCTACTTCCTTTCTGTTTCAACTGCACAGCTCCCCACCAAGACCTCTCCCTCCTCACCAGAGATTAGTGTGTTAGAAAGTCACAGTCTTTTTAGGCAATGTGTATCAGCATTTGCAAAGAGCTCCACATGCCTTAGGGCTAGAAACGCTATATAAATCTAAGCAATTATTGTTCTAGTTTATTGTTCCTTGTGGCAGCAGACATCTCTCAAATTCAGGGCTAATTGTTTAAGTGCATTTTAATTTTAGGTTAACTGCTTTTTTCTTTTTAATTTTTCAGTAACCTTCTTACTTTCTGATTGCTGTAGGAGAATTTATGTAAGCATTATGTGAACCTCCTGTTGCTCTGTAAACTCACTCAGTAGAAGTCTTCCCTGTTGGTGTAGTTAGATTTGCTTCTAAGGCTTTTGACAGGTCTGTGGGAGAGAAGAGCCCTGTTATTCACAAGACATTTTGGGCAACTCTTTGGTATCTCAAGGAAGGTATAAAGCACTTTCAGTGTATCTACTGTTATTAGATTGCCTTTTACCATTCTGCCACTTTTTGGATCCTTAACTGTTGCCTGTATTTCCAGCTTCTGGGTGGCTGCTGGTGCCAACCTGCCTGGTTCACATGCTTCATCAAATTCAGGTACCTGCTAAGCCCGCTGTGAGCTTCTCTACAGTGCTCATCCACCTGTGATTTCAGTTCTTAGTCAGCTGGAAGCATTTTTTCATCTTAAACTGAAATTTTCAAAACAGTAAATTCACCATTTTGAGGTTTTGGGGTTTATTTATTTGTCACAGCAAAGATTATAGTTGCTAACATCTGCTGCTCTGTGCGCATTTGCATCTTGAATAGATGACCTGACCTGTGAATTGATACAGATGTGGTTTTGGCTTGGCTTTGCCACCAGTAAAGATGCAGTATTTCTTTATTTATGCCATTGGGAGTACATAATGTCTTGCAAATAGTACATCAACCATTGCATACAGCTGAGTAAGGCTGTTCCTGTATTAGATGATGATTCCCAGTCCTTAGTTCTGCATTACTCTTTCTCTTCTGTGGCTATCACAGGCCGCTTCAGTGTTACTATCATCTATCATAGATGACAGCATTTTTAAAGTTCAGGTAGCCACATTTAGGAGGCAGTTTTGGAACTCATCTTTGGTCTCGTTGCCATGTTATACCTGGCATAAGGCTCCTTCATTGATCACAACCCTATCAATGGATGACTGTTCTGGATTCTCCCTTTGACCCCATGCCTTCGTTTAGTCCTGATTAAACTACATCATTTCTCTTGCTTAAAGAGCTCATTGAGCCATACATGTTGCTTTTCTTTTACCAATGACAAAGTAAGTGTAGTCCTCTCCTTTGAGATGTACAAGCTCCTTAGTATCTGAAGTCTTTTCCTTACATGGTAGGGATGAATGTGGATGTATTTTCTTACTACTGATGTCAAGCCATCTGAAATCCAAATACTGTTTCACTGTGAGCCTTTGTATTTTGCAGGCATTGTAATCAGAAAAGTAGTCATATTTTAAGAAGCAAGATTAGTAACTCCTGGCTGGGGGAACCTGTGACTGACACATGTCAGAGTTCCAAGTCTGTTTTCAAATTTCCAGAGACAAAACATATTCTTCACCCTCTGTAGTGAACATTTCCATGATTTCTAATAGCTCTCACTATTAGGTGTTTTTTTAAGTTGTTTCTTCTCTAAAAATATGTCTTTCTTTAATTTCTCCTGCTACTTCCAGTTAACTAATTTACTAAAAATTCCTGTCTCTTGATGTCTATATTCATGGCGTCTTATACACAAAGTCTATATAAGCAGTTAATAAAAAGCAAGTTAATCACCCTCTATTTTACAAATCCATATTTGGATTTAAACTGTGGCCAGCAGGACAAGAGAAGTGATCACCCCCTTGTACTCAGCACTGGTGAGGCTATACCTTGAATACTTTTTGTTCAGTTTGGGCTCCTGACTACAAGAAAGACATTGAGGTGCTGGAGCATGTGCAGAGAAGGCCAACAAAGCTGGTGAAGGGTCTGATGAGGAGCAGCTGAGGGAACCAGGGGGTGCTTAGCTTGGAGAAAAGGAGGCTCAGAGAGACTTTATAGCTCTCTACCTGAAAGGAGATTGTAAAGAGGTAGGGGCCAGTCTCTTCTCTCTAGTAAAAAGCAATAGGACAAGAGGGAATAAACTCAAGTTGTGCCATAGGAGGTTTAGACTGGGCATTAGGTGATACTTCTTCACGAAAAGGGTTGTCAAGCCCTGCACCAGCCTGCCCAAGGAAGTGGTGGAGTCACCAACCCTGGAGGTGTTTAAAAGACTTGTAGATGTGGCACGCACTTAGGGAAGTAGTTTAGCTGTGGACTTGGCAGTGCTGGGTTAACAGCAGGACTCTGTGATCTTAAAGGTGTTTTCCAACCTGAATGATTCTATGATTCTACAATCATAACTTCAAATCCATAGTCTGTGAACTTCACAAGAGGTCTCTGAAGCACAGAAAATGTTACTAGCACACTCCACATCAAGTGTAATCAACTGTACTCTGAGATACCAGAATAAAGAAAGACTGGCAGTAATGTCTGTGCAGCTAGAATGAACTTCTCTAGTAATGTCTACTATTCTGTGAGAATTTAACTTCTTACAGACCAGAGGCAACAGGTGAGCAGGAACACATGTTCCTATTGCCACCAGTATAATAGATCCAAGTGTAGAGTATTTGAAGGATATTATGAGCTGCTGCTTTACATTAAAAGCTCAGAGCTTTCCTGAGCAATGCTGGGAGGTTGTAACTGTGCCCTGGCAGGAATCTGCTGCAGGGCTCCAGACCACCAGCAAAGAAGTTTAAGGGTGGACTGATTTGTTTAGATTAGAGGAAATATCATCTTCTTGATGTTTAAGAGGTCTCTGCTGCTATCCGTGATGTCAGTGGCAACCGATAAATCCACGGTGGGACTCGACCATCACACTCTGTCAAGAAACATGCATTTTTTTCTGAGAGATCATTTAGGAGGGAGCGATAACATGTAAACATCTGGTCATAAAGAGGCAGGCTCCTTCCTCCCCGGATGTCATAAACTTGGCTCAAACTGAGCTTCAGCATTTTTTATGTAAAATGTTTATAAATTAACTCCAAGTACAGAGGCATTCTGACCCTAAAGCAGAAACGGCTCAGGCACAGTTGGATGCAGAGCTGCCTGAAATTGCTCAGTCTCATACTTTCACTGAAGAAAACATGAGGATTTTTGAGAACACTCCAACAGTTTTCCCTTCTTCCTGCAGAATTGAAGTTTATCCTATTAGACTGAAGAGTTAACTCGTAGATAGATTCACTGGCATTTTTCCTCTTTCACCATGGGAGGAAGATGTGCTAGCTGTAACAGCAGCTCAGTTTAGTTTAGAGTGCTTCCACATATACCAGAGTCAGAGACTCCTACCACAGTCTTCAGCTGGACTTTAATTCCAGAAAACACAGACACGGTACCAGGCACAGGCTTTGAAATGAGTTTTGCACAACAGAGTAACCATTAGGATATAGCTGAGCTGCTTGAACTGTACTGTGCTGCAAAGGCAGAACACTGCTGGGGTCCATCCTGCTTTCTTCCTTTTCTTTGATGCTGTTTTCCGGCACACAAATCAAAATAACCATCTTGCTTTGTTAAACCTTTCTCGGCAGTGACTGAGCCAATCGTTTCAAAGTCAGTCGTGTCCCTCGAGGATGCTTGTTGATTCTGACTGACACTTGTTAAGTGTCACTGTCACTAACAGTCTTTGAAGAGATGTTCTTGCAGACTTAACAGAAGGGATGTTAATTAAACTGTTGATTTGTGCTATTCCATACGCCCATCAAACACAGCACGGTACTTTAGTAACTAAAGAGACACACAGTACTGAAGAGCATTTAGTTTTATCTATAAAGCTCTATCTATTACCTGAGAAGAATGTCAGGTATAAGCCAGTATCTGTTAGATGTTTTTGCAGCAGCCATCACTGCCTGCAGCAGCCTCCTTAAGTAACAACATCAAATACACCAGTGCTGTGGGAATGCACACTGAGGCTTATAACAGAAGCTGAAGCACCTGCAAATGCTGCTACATCTACTGTGAATCCAAGTGCAGCTGGATGTGTTTGCTTTCAAGATCCTTCACTTTGTTCTAGTTCAGAAAGATGCTCTTTCAGGTCGGTTGTTGATTCTTTTGAAGCTAGTAAAAGGCTTTGTTAGTGAGTTCATTCAATCCCAGGAGAATTCAGTATTGCAAAGGACCACTGACCCATCAGTCGCTAACCGAGCATTAGCTTTCCTATACCTGAAAACAGGCAGGTACTGAAGCAGTCCATAGTATCAGCCAAGCATTAGTATGGCATTTGCAAGTGCATCAGCTTACAGCTTACATTTTGCCCTGGAAGAAGGCAGGCCAACACAGCTTGGGAAACACCACTGTACAGGGTAACTCTTTCTGGACTGCCTTCCAGCTCATCCAACACATATATAATGTCAGACTAAATTTAGCTTATTTGATGCACATCTATTTGTATGAATGAAAAAGCCAAAAAGTTAATTCACATCTCCTTACATCCCATCATATTTTTATTCCATTTTTGTGCTTTGTCTTTGTGTTATGTCACACATCATTTAATACGACATCCTCATAGGAGCACTATCCTGCACTGAAGTCTTTTCCTCTCTCAAAATAAAGTATTGAAATTCCTTTAGCCTCAAAGTCTTCAAAGGTCTGAGTCTTGGCAGTGCATTTTCTACCACTGAAGCAAAGCCGCCTCTGGAAAGACATGTAACAGCTGTTTTAAGTGCAAACCCTGGTAATATGCTTTGGGTTTTTTTCAGAAGTGAAGGAAACACAACATGAATTTGTCACTTTGGAGGGATTGGAATGCAGCATTTGCTACATGAAACATAGCCAAGCAGGCAAACTCGAGTACTTGTACCTAAGAAAAGACAAACCAAGAAGCCAGTTGTATCTTAAGTTAATGTTATGTATGAATAATTTTATCATTCATTAATCTGTCATCAGCCTGGTAGTGCAAAAAACCAGTAACGGTTTACATTAATGTATCGAAGGCACATGTAATATATTCAGTGTGATTCATGCCCTATGGTGCTTTTTTGACAAGTTTCATAGCACTATAGTTAGTATTCATTAGAAATAAAAGCACTTTATAACACTTTGATACAATATTTGAGACAAGAACTGAACAAAGCAACTACTTCAGAGGCAAGAAAGCAATTAGGAAAGACACTTCAAGAAGTGTTACCGAGAGATCTTCAAAGAGCTCAGTTTCATACTATTGACAACACAGCACCTGGTAATGGCAGCACTGTCAGCACAGAAGATGGAAACATTTGCTCGTCTCCATCCCAGCAGGAGCATCACATCCACCTCCCCAGCAAGGAGATACACCTTCTGCAGCACCTCAGCATCCCTGGAACTCCCTTGTTACACAGAGCCCTGTTCAACATCTGTGATCATATGGGAGCGAAGAAAACAGGATGCAAGAGTCCATAAAAACAACAGCTCAAAACTTAGGGAATTATGCACTTCAGTTACACATCATTTCCTTCTCTGTTTTTGAAAGAATCTTTGTCCTTAATAAATATTGAAACAAGCCCATAAAAATCCTTTAAAATAAGCTGTAGGCTAAATGAATTTCCTCAGAAATCTCCCTTCCCCTATGCATGGGTTCACACGGGTTTGCCTTGGAAAATTTGTCAGTAAAATTGTGTATGCTTACCTTGGGCTTCTTATGGTCAGCTTAATTAATGGTTGAGCAGTATGGGCTGCTGTGCACATGAGGTAGGATGGCTCCAGAAGAACACCGCATGGTTGAAGTCAGTGGGTGTGTGCGCACACACACAGATTTACAAGCAAATATTTCAGAGTACCCCAGACTCGGTAAAAGTGCTTTGATTTTCAGCAGTGCTTCTCCCTTTAGCTTTCAGTACAGACCTGCGTGCTGAGCGTTTTGGAGGCAATTAGATCCTTGTGATCTGCAAAATGCGTGTATGCCTTTAAGTAAAAATATAAGTATGGGATAAAACTCATCTTCTCATCCCATAACTTTCTGCTCAGGTTCTTGGAAGGGTACCTGTAATGACCTGGATATATGAGGGGAGATGATACCCTAAGGCTGGAAAGGCAAACATAGGTAGCTTTCACTCCACTGCAGCTAGATTTCAGCTACCTTCTCCTCTTAATTCCCCAAAACTCCCTTTTTGGCCAGGTGTTAAGGATCAGAGTCCCCTTTTCTGATCCCTGTGAGTTGTTTGTAAGTGTGGGAGGGGGTCTATCTGGGGAAGGGACAGGTCCACAGAGAATGAGGCTTGTATGTAAGGACATGCAGCTGAACACAAATCCAGCAGCTCAGCACCCCCATGGGTCAGGAGGGCAAAAGGTTCTCTCCTGTCGATGAATGAAGAAACAAAAGGAATATAAAGTAGAAATAAAGAAGTGACTGCAGGGGGAACAAAGCACAAAGTAACTGAAATGTTATTTGAAAGCTTACCTTACAGCGAGAAATTCACAGATGATCTCTTATTTGGTGCCCAAAGGGGAAGCTGGTCTTTAATCAAAGCTTCCAGAGGACAACCTTTAGTATAAAAGGCAGTGAAAAGAGGATCTGGTGGCTGAAATCTAAAATTGGAACATTCACATTGAAAATAAGGCACAGATTTCTAACAGTGAGGGCAGTTATTTAATAGAGAAAATTATCAATTACAACATGACTTTTATTTTACTTGTATCTTAAGAAATGAAAGATACCCCCAAGGATACAACTGGTTGAGACATTTAGTAAGGTCCTGTGCTATACACAGACAGCAGGGTGCTTTTCATCCCTGGGGTAGCCCAGGTGAAGAGAACAGTGGCTTCAGGATCTACAACAGGGACCAACATATGCCTGTAAATCTTCAGACTCCTTGTCAATGGGCAAAAAAACCCCACTGAAACCCAAGGTAATCCCTATTTATAGAAAGGACTAAGCAGCTCTCAACTTTTCTGCATTGAACTGCTGCTGTTTATAAAAGAACTTTTCTTCTCCATTTGCACTGTATCAGGCTCATGTCAGCCAGTCAGGAGAAAAGTGCAGATTAGGACAGGAGATTGAGCTGCTGAGTGCATGAAGAGGCACTGGTAATTCTCCGTTACACTTCATAGGACTGGTGAGAGACCAGCAGTACCTTGTTCACAGCCCTCAGCAGTGTATTTTTAAAGCTAGCACCGGGTGCTGGCTAGCAGCCAGGTACAGTTATACCTTTACTAAAATTAAATAGTAACTGCTGTATTCCTGCACTGCAGTCTAACAAAATCAGGGAGCTTGACTATTACTCCCCCATCCCGACTTGAAAAAGCAGACAGACATTTCCAGCATACTGGAGTAGTCAAAAGGTTCAAGGATCACCAGCCAGGGATCTATGGCAGGTCCACGTCGCCTCCATGAATCATATTTCTTTGCAGTGAACATGTCAGTTATCATGGGTAGAAATTAAGTGACATAGTTACTACTCCCTAGACTACTGTTGAAGAGATACAGGTGGCTTCCTCAAAAGAGGCTCCTTAAACAGACCAAGTGATCTGGTCCGTACTCATGAAATTAACAGGAGGAAGACAACATGTAGCTATCAGATCCCTTCCTAGAACAATACTGGAGAGCTTTTAGAAAGTGTGCTCAGCAGAGAATTCCTGTTTAAAATCCTATCTGTGAGACAGGAAAAGGACATTCTTGAAAAGCTGAAGGATTCCCAAAGTGTTTCATAAAGAAGGACCCTACCTGGTGGCTCACACAGTTCTAACCCCATTGCTACTTACCTGGTGGCTCACACAGTTCTAACCCCATTGCTACTAGTGTAAAAATCAGTGTCTCTGATTTAGTGGGAGTCTTGGGGATGTAGCTCTAGCTTTGACACTATTGGAATATAGTGTCTTCTTGGTGTTTAATGTTGGGCTAGCTGGAAATCATTTTCCTATTAACTATCTGTGTTTTTTACTTTCTCTCCTTACTACCTCACTGTCTTTCACCTTTTCTGCACTAAAAGTGGCTGTTCCTCTGTCTCCAAGCTCCTCCTGCTCTTCTGCAGTAGACCAGCTCCTGTCTAACCATGAACATGCTCTGTAAGTCCTTTCTTTTATTACTGCAGCTCTGTGTGTGTGTCTGTTCTGTATTTATTGTAACAGAATTGAAAGGATCATTTGACGTATAGCTTAAGATTTGTGTAGCAGAGGCAGAAACCTCAGCTGAAGGGAGAGGTTTCACCCCAGAACATTTAGGGTGGGCTCGTCGCTGCAGATAACATGCAGCAGGAACACTGGTTGTCTTTTGGTGATGGTTGATCTCACTCAAAGGGCTGTTCTACAATAGCACAGGGTCTCACCAGTAGGTACCACACAAATGCATAGAACAAGATACAGAGGACAGTCACAAGCTGTGATTCATTTCACATTAGGGCTGCATGACACCACATACCAGAACAGAGCTGCTTTCTGCGGCCCTTGGCTTGACCAACCTATGCATAAAGGATACAGGACTTCTAATAATTCTTAGAGTTTAGATACAACCATAAGAGGTTCTTATAGCAATAGGGAAAACTCCAGTACCTGTCTTAAGTCCATTAAACCTTCTGACAGCTCTGAGGCTTCTTCTTCTCCCAGATGGTGTGCAGGGTTCCAGCTGAGCTCCTCCCACGGTGGGACAAGCATCATGGGAATGCTCCAGGGACCAGGCAGCTCCAGACACATAGCTCCAATTAGCTGAACATTAAAAAGAAGAACGGAATAAGTGTGAAATTGGCTTCCTGCTCAAGATGTTTCTGGAGAGAGTAGGGAAAAAGAGCAGAGCTCATTTTAAGACCAAAAAAATCCTGGTGGTTGCAATGGCAATATTCCTACCTTGAAACTGAGACTGAAAGTCACAAGAACTGATAGTTGATCATCAGAAGACACAAGAAAGCATCTGGCTCTTCAGTGTCAGACACCCACACCTGCTCCAGCATCTCAGTGTTACCTATCCCTCCACCTGCTCTCCACACCATGCTCTCTGCATCTAGGCAATGAAGCCACAGACCTGGAGAGATTATACCTCCCAGTACCCGCAGAACCTCCAATTACCCCAACGGATCTGTGGCAGGCAGGGAGTTTCTCTCCTTTTTCCCTTCGATGCTTCTGTTTATTCCTCATTAGGACACTCAGACATTGAACAGAGGCAGCAGATTTCAACAGCTGCTTTAAGGCAGCAGAGTTCAAAGAGGAGAACGCAGTTTCTGTTTCTGCCATCTGTAACTCTCCGTAGCCAGGTTCCCTGGGTAGGACGCAGCATATGCGGAGTCAGAGCTGTCATCAGGCTGCAATCTGCTCCCTGTGCTGGTGCTCAACCTGCTTTTGAAGTTTTACACTGCAGAACTCCCAACCAGTGATGGAGAACTGGCACCATCCCTTCAAAGGCTGTTAGAAATAAAGGACATTCCCCAGCAACAAAGGGTTACCAAAATGCCTTTTTGAATGCAGTGAAAGCTGCATAAGTTGATAGTTTAAAGTAGACTAACACGAAGTAGGGACCTCAAGCACAGAGGCAGCATCCCTGGCTGAACAGGAAGGGAACACTGAGCACTTCCTAGAGAAAAGAAAAACTCAGTAATTTCCAGCATCCCCCAGTTGCTGGCCATCACTGAACCTTGGAGGATTAGGAGAAGACTCTGGGATGTTTCAGAGCCAGTTGGACTATCCTTTGGGTATACTTAGAGGTCCAAGAGCACCCATAAAGCTCCTTAAAGGAGAGGGCTTCTCACCCTTTGCAGTGTCCAGGGCATGGAGAGCAGTCTCCCTGTGATGACTGCCAGCATCACTCCACACAATATCATCTCCTGTGAGTTCAGTTCCTGGGCCTCAAAGGCTATGACAGCAGCTCCAGTTTTCAGCAATATTCAGGTCCTTCCCCATCCCCACAGCCAAATACAGCTAGACAGGCAGAGAGGAGACAGAGCACCCTGTATCACTTGGGAGAAAGACAAAGAGAAGCACTTGGAAGAGCCCAGGTACAAACCCCATAACTCCCAACCCACAAAGATTCCCTCAGCTGAAATAATTGTCAGTGAGAGCAGGATTAGCACAGCTATCACTGCCTCTCACAGTATCTTTCATATCCTTCCCTCACCTTTTTGATGAGCTCCAGGACAGCCAAGCACTAACAGAGCTCCTTTAATCACCGCACCCACTGCAGCACACAGCAGTGCTGCTCTCCCACGTTTACTCTTTTATTTCCTCCTCTCCACGGAGACACTTGGTGCTCATGAGGCTTGTTAGGCTTCCTGCTGCCCTACCCATCTCACTGCTCTGTCTCTGGTAACCCTTTCCTGGCCAGGCTCTGCATACGAGCACCCTGCAGCCACATTTCAACTATGGAAAGATGCTGTTCTACACCATTGAAGGACACCACAAACAAGCACTACCTCAGTTCGAGGAGAACTCCATTGCATATGAGCACTCCCAGTGGGGATTATAATTTTGCAATTTACCCCTTTACCTAAGCCAACTGTCACGGACCAGCTGTCTGTCTACAACTCGTTTTTGCATGTCTTTTAATAGGCATACACAGAGTGCAAATGCAGCCTCAGGCCATCAGACACTTTCACCGTGTCATGTTACCTTCTGGAAGGCTTCATGGGGGGACATAAACTGTGCTGGCACCCAGGGCAACAAGAGTGAGGTGGGGTGAAAGAAGACCTCATTCTGCTGGTCACATTCCTCTGAGATGTTTCTTTGGAAAGGGATGCAGAGGGCAAGTCGTCCTGGTTCTTCTCAGTTGCTGATGTGCTGCTTTATATTGCTGTATGTAAGCAGTCATTGGCTTGGGAGGTGGCACCCACAGCACCTTCCTTTTCCTAAGAAGGGGTATTAGCCACAGAAGTTAAAAAATCATCCTGTACTGCATGTATATGTAAACATACTTGTACAGAATGGAGGAAACCACAGAAAATCCAAGCAGGTATCAGTATGCAAAACCAGTGACAAGTCTGGAGGTGATGGGCAAGAAACAAGCTTTACTCTCTCTGGGATAAAATGACCTGAAGGCTGAACTCCAAATCTGGTTTTGCTCACTGAGCTGCTGTCACCAATGCCAGCCTGTCCAAGCGATGGGATGGAGCTGGAAAGCTGAGACTCACTCAGACTCAGGTTAGGAGGCTTCTGCAGATTTTGCTTGAAGCAGGTTCGTAACTCTTCTGTATTCTTTGCATTTAGGGATCCAAAAAACTTTACTGGGCATTCATAATTAGATGGGGGTTGAACACAGTATTCAAAGTTCTAAATCTCAGACATAGATGTCTAACGTGTCTGTTAGTCCCTTGGTTCTGTATGTCAGGTGTTCGTGAAATGTCCTCATGTGAGTTTTTGTGTCTGCTTTCCTCTCTCTAGCAATTTCTCCACTGCTATTTCCCATCATATGGTCACATGCTCTTATCCCTACATAAACACTGCTTGACATGTCCATCACTTAGTTGTAATCCATCTTGACTGCAGTTCTCCCAAATACCTCAACTGAAGAGATCAAGAAAATGGTGATCTACATTCTCCAGCTCTGTGTGCTGCTAACTCACTTTATGCTGAAATAATTAACCTCTGCCTGGAGCAATCCAAGATGAGGTGCTGCCAAATCCTGTGACCCAGTAACACTTGAACATAACACCTCTCCACTTGCTCTGCTCATCACAGAGATGAAAATCTCAATTTTCCATAGTGTAGTCAATTGTGTCTGTGCTAAACAGTTACAGAACCTTATCAGTCTGGTCTGGGAGGATTTTACACTTTCCTGGTTGAAGTGAAAAATACCTCCCTCCAGCTCAGGACAACAGTGAGAGTAGCTCAGTTTCAGAAAGGAGCAAAGACAAAAAAGCCAAGTGCTACTGGCACAAGCCAGTTCACACTTGTGTGAATCAGAATCATAGAATAGTTAGGGTTGGAAAGGACCTTAAGATCATCTAGTTCCAACCCCTCTGCCATGGGCAGAGACACCTCATCCTTGATCAGCACAGTCCAGTGCCTCTTACACTGCTCTGCTAGCAGGAATCAGGGATCTGACCCCATGGCTTGGCAGGCTCCTTTACAGGATGGACTCCTGCTATCCTGGTTGTGAAATGTGCAGAGCTGTATTTCACAATTTGATGCTGATAAGGCCAGTCCTTATTTGTCGCAGTCTTTAAAGTCACCACTGCTTTCATTAGGGTCTGCAAAAAAAACCCCATGCAGGCTGCCAAGGCAATCTCTGAACCATGTAATTCATCGGGAAGTCAATTTAGCTGTTCCAAAACATGAAATTGTGATGAAATGATAAGCCCTGGCAGGCTGTAATGATAGAGTTACTTAAGAACAGTACTTTGGTTGGGGCTGCCTCCCCGTTTAATGTGGATTACTCTCTTTCTTTTGTTAAGGAGGTGGGTGACTCTGCCTCAGTGTCACTGGTGAAAGATAATGAGAGGTTCCCTTTGTGAGTCAGAGCAGAGCTGGAGCATCGGGGTAGAATGAACCTGCACTACGGTGTTTTGGTACAAGTAATTGCTGCTAAAAAAACCTCACTCTGGGAGGAAGCTATATTTATGGGGTCTCCAAATGGATCTCCACAGGGTTGGTCAAAGGGAGAAGTCTTCCAACAGATTCATTAAGCCGTTGCTGAGCTTCTGTGATTACCTACAGAGCCAGAGAAACACAAAAACACACTCCTATATTCCTGGTCCCTTAAACAGTTATTTACAAAGCTTTCACAGCATGCATTTCCTGAAATACTACAGAAAGCAGATCCATAGCTCCCCGAAATTGTCTTCAAAAAGGAGGATTGACTGTGCCTTTGAACAATGATTTCATAAAACAATGCAGCACCTTGTGTAATGTATTCCTTTCATGGGCCAAGTAAATTCAAAGTATTGCCAAGTCTTGTCTTTAAAATCAAATTAAAACTTAGAAAATACATGCTCAAAACTACGCAGATGTTTTCTCTGAGACTGCATTTTCCTTTAGAACCCTTTCTATTATAATGTGAATAGAAAATAAAGTTGTTTATATTTCTGTAACTCAACTCCCTAATGCTATTTTAGCCCTTACATTAACCTCACTCTAAACCGCTGAATTACTTGTGATACCATCCCTAGTTGTTAAACTGAAGGCAAAATATGTACGTGGTAGGGACGCTCTGTGTAGCTGAGGATTCACAGCTTAGAGCAAGCAGCTACTAAGAGTGTGGCAGTAGTCTTCCGGCCAACCCCATGAGCCACTGTCACCACCACAGGTTATAACAGCTCTGGGCCAATTTAGGATGGGCTAGAGACAGAGCTGGGATGATAAAACTGCTTCTTGTTCTTCTGTTTCTCTTTTTGTCCTTGTTTATGTCCCCCAGTGGATTTCATCACAGTTGTTATTGATGGGATACTCAGTGAGGCTGCAGAAAAGTTATTTGAGATCCTGCTGGGGGTTTTATGAGGCTTAAAAGCACTGAGAGGAAAGCTGTCAGTGCCCGTCACAGGAACACACCTGATTCAAACGCTTCAGACATGAGAAAAAGTATTTTCAACCTGTAACAAACAACTTTTCTCATAATTACCCTTGGAGACTGCAGACCACTGCCAAGGGGAAGGAAAAGCTCGTTTTCCTCTTTATACCTACCTTAACAATGCGTTAGTGTAATAATAATCTCTGATAGGAGTTATGGCTGCAGTCATAGGACAGTGCTCTTGGAAATATGGTTCAGCAACTCCGGTGAGGGGCTGCACAATTTTTCAAAGCATAAATCTTTCCATTTTGAAACTGCTCTCAAAGAGCAACTGGAAATACCCAGCCTAGATCTGACTTCTGGCTGGAAAGGGCAATAATAAGGATCAATGCTTCATTGCAAGCAGCACACTGGAATTAATTGGAAAGTGGATATCTGGCAACTTGCTACGTAGGTGCAGTGTGTGCATCATGCCCTGCGAATGCCACGTGCTTGTTCTCCAGGAGAAATTAATGTCTGATGTTGTGCAGCATTTACAGACTAGTCTGGGAGGGGAGTGCAGTGTTCTCCCACTGCAAAACCTTGACTCTAATCAAAAGTGAAGGAAAGAACAAGTTTATGGGGGAAATCAGGAGAGAGAGGAAGGCTTTCCATTTTTCTCCTGTTAAAACACAGGGTAAAAGAGGAAACTGGCACCTGTGTATGTGCATGTGCACGTGGTCTTGTGTCACTATATTCCATTTGCACCACTGCAACAGCCTCCTTAGCATTTGCAGGGAATAGCATCCTGGGGACCAGTGCTTCCTTTCCAACTGCCAACTGCAGCAACAGCAGCAGAAGACCATGCAGAAGCATTTCCTTGTCTTTTCCTCCAGACAACCACAATGGGAACTTCAAGGGTGCTTTTCCTTAAGATGGAAGGGATTTCTCAACCAAAATTGAGCCTCCATTCTCGTTTATTTCAACTAACGGCCTGGGAGTTGCACTGGGTTTAGCAGGACACTTGAGCATGTAGAAGAGCAGGGTCCTGCTGCAGAGTCACATCCTGGGGATGAGAGCCACTGCACCATGGTGCAGATGGCAGCGCCATTTTCAGAGCTATAAACAGTATCATTGTCATAGCTCTTTGAATGGTACTGCCATATGTACCGGAAAACCAGCATTTATGCTTGTAAGGGCTTTGGGCCAGCTGGATTTTCTCCCCATTTGGATGAAGCCGATCCCTGAAGTATCAATGAAAGCTGCATGCTGCTTTGGAGTAATTCACCCCCAGTACTTATTTTTGAGTGTCAAAGGATCATCACGTTCTCATCCGCCTCCTAACCTGGAAAACCCAAGTGTCCTGCACGTGGAGAGATTGCTGGTGCTTCCAACCTTCCCTGCTCAGTTCAAGAAGCAGCAGAAAGTTCGTGGAAATTTTGATAGAAAACCAGTCAGGCTGTGCATGTTCTTCTTTAGCAAGTATGGTATTTTTATGGCAGAGCGTATTTGACTGACTGTATATGTCTGGGTGGGCTGGTGAGTGGGGGGAGAGAAAGTGCTCATTTTAATTTCAGGGGTGCGTACCTCACCTTGCTGCCAGTGCAGCCCACATTGTGCTCCCCTTCATTTGTACTGCTGAAGGAATAACAGCCATGTGCAGCAAAGGATGCTACAAGTCACACTGATGAGCAGCACAGAGCCCAGCAGTGCAGCAGTGTCATGGCCATACTACCCCAGGAGCACAGGGGCTACAGCATGCTCTAGCTTCGTCCTTGCTGCAAGTGTTTTGCTGTAATGTTCAATTTTTTGCTGACCCTGCTTCTTTTTGGCAAGGAAAAAGAGGAGGCCAGCAG